CAACCTAGAAATCTATGAATCTATGAAGAAACATAGTTGCTGCAATAACTGGTACTCCATGTAAAAGGCCTGAAAATCTAACTTTTTAGATAGTTTGTGTACCTAATACTTCCATAAAATCCTCCAGTATTACAGTTTATCTGTAATAAGTAGACTGTTCCTTTTGCAGGGATCTCTTTTGCTTTTTGTTGATGCATCATAACCAGAGTATTTTTGAGGCATTCAGTTTGGGGAAGTTCGTAGTTAAATAAAAGTAGTTAAATAAAGTCTTTCAATAGACTTTAGTGGTCACACTGGAGTTTATCCTCAAGATAATATTTACATAAGATTAATTCAGGTTGGTGAGAGATTCCCCTGATGGATCTTTAATTAGAAGTGTGAGGAGGCATAGGCACGTGAAAAAACTCTAAACAGTATATGTGGAATGTGAATAATAGAATTATTTTTAGTATTTCAGTCTTGACGTCATGATGTTCTTAAATTGTTTGTCAGGCAATTTCATAGGGTAAGCAGGGTTCTTAATGGAGTGTCATACTTATAAATCATAGAATCACCATAGAATCATAGAATGGTTTGGGTTGGAAGGGACCTCAAAGATCATCTAGTTCCAAGTCCCCTGCCATGGGCAGGGACACCTTCCACTATATCAGGTTGCTCAAAGCCTCATCCAGCCTGGCCTTGAACACTTCCAGGGATGGGACATCCACAACTCTGGGCAACCTATTTCAGCACCTCACCACCCTCAGAGGGAAGCATTTCTTCCTTGTATCTAATTGAAATCTCCCCTCTTTCAGTTTAAAGCCATTGCCCCTTGTCCTATCACTACATGCCCTTGTAAAAAGTCCCTCTCCAGCTTTCCTGTAGGCCCCCTTTAAGTACTGGAAGGCTGCAATAAGATCACCTGGAGCCTTCTCTTCTCCAGGCTGAACAGCCCCAACTCTCTCAGCCTGTCTTCAGAGGAGAGGTGCTCCAGCCCCCTGACCATCTTTGTGGCCCTCCTCTGGACCCGCTCCAACAGATATTTCTAATTAAGTGTTCAGTATTTAAACATGATCTGGAGCTGTATGAAAACAGTACTTGTAAACATATTACTCTAAATACAAATGATAAATAAAAAGTATATATCCTTATAGAATATTATACAGATTTGAAACTATTGGTGATCTACTTATTCTTCTAATTGTGCGACTGTGGTTTTTAGTCATTCACTTCCACTTCTGTAATGTCTCTTTCCCACAGCTACTGCTGTCACTGGCATTGCGTGTTTTCCTTTAATTTTTAACTTACACTGTTAGGTTTCCAAATTCAGAAATGATTTTAAGTACCAGCATGATTCAATAATAGTTGTGCATGAATGGATCAGGAAGAGCATGAGGATATAAAAATTCAGGATTCACCTCATCACATCTAGGTGTCTAGGAGTTAGTTGGCTAAACTAGTCACCCAATGTCCTTTTTATTGTTAGGGAAGGATAGCAACAGTTCTTTCTTCTGCAGTGAATTAGATGAATTAGTCTTTCTAGGTGCCCATTCCCCTCTGTTTGCTTTAGAGGGATGTAGGGTGATTATTCAAACTTGGACTACTCGCTGTTTAGGGATAAATTAAGTATGAGCTGCTTTGTCTTGTCCCTTTTCTTTCTACATTTCTGCCATTATGTCCTTGCTGAAGGTAAAATGTGCTGAATTATGCTATTTAGCCAAAGCTTTTCTTGCTGTTTTTACTACCTCTGAATACAGTTCAGTGGATTCATAGGTCCTAAGATAGAATAAGTAAAGTTTTGTCTATACTATGGTTATTTCAAATACAGTGCTGGTAGGTCTTAAAAACATTAAAGTGTACAGAGAATTTTTATATATTTAGCACTTCCTTTTGCTGTTTTGCTTATTTTGTTTCACGATTCAGGGAATGTAAAACTGAAAGATGAATCACAGAAGACTACTTTGCATTTGAAATGCATCAGTCTGAGTGAATTTTGTTAAATATGGAATAGTAATCAAATAACGTACATGACTTGAAATATGCTGTTTTCTGCATATTAAAAGAATGCCTTGCAGTAAATTTACCGAAAAGCAGATTTTGTGAAATGTTGTGGGAACATTAACATCCTCATGCCAACAGAAACGTATTCTACTAGCATTATGGCTAGTCATTAAGGATTTTTCAGTTAAAAATAACAACAATAATAGCTATTAAATCTTTGGAAATCTTTTTCTTATCTTCCCAAGAACATAAAGAAAATCTAATCAATCATTTTCTCTTTTCCGTTGTGTCAGGCAATGAATCAGTATTTATTTCAATTCTGTTTCATTTAGGTCTCAGAAACCCATTTTCATTTGATTAAATAATGTTTTAAAGTAGCTCAGAAGAAACTAAGAAATAGCACAACCTGTAAGTTATGTAGAATTAGGAAACAGTCTTTGTCGTATGAGAATATATTTTGGATGTTAATGAAATAATGCACTTTCCCATGTGTAATTGTAGCAATATTATTTAACTGAAAAAAACCCACAGCAACCAAGCAGCCAAAACCAGAGGAAATATTGGCACATAAAATGCAATTTCAAAAATAACACTTCTCTGAATAATTGTGTTGCATATTCTCTTTCAGGTGAGACCTTCTGAGGCTCTTACTAATCACCATTATCCCTGTACCTGTGTTAAAGAATTATGGATTCTACTTATTCAGCTGCTGGACCACAGAAATAAAGGGTCTCACACAGAGGTAGTGGAAGAATACTTGTTACGTATGCATGCATGTTACATATGCAATACAATCGCCAAATGTTCCCAGATTGCCATGAATGCACTAGTTCACATATCTGGTGACAGAACTGAACTTTACATTTGCTTTAGGACGACTGCATGCAAACCGTGATGCTTTAGACCACTGTCGTGAATGTGCATCGAGTCTCGACTCTAGGTTTGCAGTGTACTGTTTGGTTGTGTCCTAGGGCACGGATAAGGAGTGCTCCTTGGGCTAAGAAAAGCAAAGCAAGCGAACAGAGTGTGAAAGTTGTATGGTAGGACAAAAGAAAAGAAACTATCTTTACTCAGTTTTCAAATTTTTATTATTATTTACAATTTATGTGTTATGTCATACAATGATTCATCTCCAGGCATTAGAAACACGGGTACAGCCAGACCAATGATCCATCTAGCCCATGTTTCTGTCTTTGATACCCATACTTTAACTAGCTTTACAAGAACCACCTGGTTTTTGTTCTTGAATCTTGTAGTTGCTGACTTCTTTTGATGCCCCCTTATACTTTTATTGGAAGAGCCAATCACTACCTGTTCCTCTTCCTTATGCCAATATGACCATGTGTCTCTTCAGGCTTTTTTTTTCTGATACCTCCTGATTTCTGCCTTTTCTAGGCTGAAGAGTTTTAATGTATTCAGTCATTCTTTTTACAAGTGCCATTCTCTACCTGTGGTCATCTTTTTCACCCTTCTCTGAGCTTTTTTTCATACTACTACATCCTGTTTCAAATGGCAGAGTACCAGGATTGCATGCAGTATTCAAAGTATGGATTAGGTGGCCATATGAGTTTATACACAATGATATGCATGATGATGTTTTCTATTTTGTTCTTTTCCTTTGCTAATATTTTCTAGTGTCATGCTTTTTCTTTCTTGACTACTGGTTAAAATTGAGCTGATGTTTCTCTTAATGAATATTAAGTGTCAAAATCCTTTAAAATCCTTTAAAATTTTTTCTGAAATAATCTTCATAAAAAACAAAGCTGCCATCTGCACAATGAGTACTGTTCACTTCGTATAGAAGGAAGTACTTCACAGTAGAGTGTTTTTACTGATAGCTATTTACTTGTTAGTGGCAACAGAGGTCAAGGTGGACAACACAAGTGAAACTTCATTAGTGTTAAGTGTTTGCACTAGCCCTACCACTTTGAAGCATAAGTTAGGATCAGGACCCAGCTAAGGTGAGTGAAATACAGGTGCAAAGAGGTCCCAGAGAGTTTCCGTATAATTAGGGAAGATAGGCACAGGCTGTTAAGAAGATGTAATGTTGTGGTATAGAAGGGATGTGAGCCAAAGAGAATTAATTGATTTGTCAGTGCTGGAACAGACTTGGAACAAAACCAGGGAATTTGAACCTCAGTTTGCTGTCTTTCCAACTGATTCTCTACCATCTACTACTATCTTCCTCTTGGTTAGGTTAGTCTGGCACTAAAAGTTTTTCAAAAATCTGTTATAAAAAGTCTTCATTAAAGAACTCTGTCTCTCTCATGTGAGTGTTGATGCACCATCCTGTCTGTACATCATCATTCCATCAGCTTGTAATTTTGCCTGTGAAGTATCACACTGTGTTCTTCCTTGCGACTAAAGCTTGTCCTTTCACATTGCTTTCTACTGGCATTTGAGAGAGGACATTCTAATTTACCTCCAGGTTTTCTCTGGTAATACTGAACACTGTTTTGGTTCTTTTCTTTAAATGACTGTAATTTTGCTTTTCTCTGTAAACGCAAATTAATCAATAGGACAGTATTGTAGAGAAAATTGTTAACATAGGCTTTGTTGTTCAACATAGTTCAAATTTACTTTTGCGTTTTCTGCAGTCTTTCTGGAGCTTGGTGAACAAAACTCTAAAGAATATATTTGAAAGGCCAAGTAGTTCTGAAAGGATATCTGGTTTTGAATCAATTCAGTGTAAAGACCCACTGAGTTTTAGCTGGTGGATTATTACTCATCTGGCATCACTCTACCAGTTTGACCGTAATGGAAAACTAGATGAAAAGGTGGGTATGCTTTTTTTTTTCTAAAAACCTAAAAGTTATTGTAACTTATTTAAGTCTCTAACTCTTCTTGATTATTTTTGTTGACTGAAAACAATTCATGTTGTAATACAGGAATTTTCCTTAAAAGGTCCTTCAAGGTTGTTGGTGTTAAGGTGTGCTTTGTACACAAGTAAACATTCCAGGAGCCCCTTGAGATATTCATGTTATACACCAGAGATTCAGTAGATTACTATATTAAGGAAACTTGAGATATCCCAACTAGTTAGTAGCACATATACTTAATAATGTAGGGTATGTTTTAAGACTGTCTGCCTGCAGCATAAATGCTTCACTGGGTTTGTTGTTTTAGCAACCAAACACATTAGGTTGTATCATATGAAGTATGAACCTCCAACATTGACTGCGTAATTGTTAATGCCACTTTTTTAAAAAAAAAAAAAAAGCAGTAGCTCTGCTCTGGATAAATTCCAGTCTGTCTAATTGCATTCCCTTTGCATCACAGCAATGGCACAATGAGGTGCATATATATTCGTGTATACTGCTTAATCTTCTGTGTTGGTGTGGTACCAATAGACACTGTCTAATAACTATTGAATTCAAGCTTCAGCTTAGGAAGTTCTGGCAGTAACTTGCAAGAAACTTTCTTTTAGAAGATAGTCTTAGATTTTCCTGCTGGCTGGAGCGGACTAGTCCCTGATTGATCAGGTTCTTGTCTGTGAATCTCATTGTGAGGGACTTGCCATTACCATGCGTTCTGTAAGGGGCCTGGATGAAACAAACCTGCACATGCCATTCCTACACCTGTAAGATGTATGCAGGGCCATGCTTGGTACTGATGCATCAGATTCCTTCATGGACCTCACTGCAGTTTTCTGCAGTTCTGAAGACATGTAAACCCTGACTCTTCTTCAGTCTCAACTCTGAGATTCATCCTGCCTAGTTTTAAGTTTCTAAGCCTTAGTTAGGAAGGAAGGAGGTGCTTGCTGAAGCAATTCATCCGTTTTGAGAGGTATGAAAGCTGCCATTTTTTCTTAATTGACTGTGAAGGGAGCTGACTAGAAGCCAAAGAAATATCTGAAGACCCAGCAATCCAGTTTTTTTTGTGATTTGCGTTTTTTTTTTATCTGATAGTGTTTTTGGCACTAGGGAGAATCAGGATGTGTCATCTTCTGTCATCTGTCTTTCTGTTCTTCTATCTTTTGCCTCATTGTAGTTGTGTTTGGGTTTGGGGTTTTTTTTGATTTTACATTTCAGCTGGATTGTTTATAATCCCTAGTTTGCCAAGCATCAGCTCTATGCAGCTTATTCCACAAGTTGGGCTAAATTGCCCTTTCTTGTGAAGTGTCTTTTATTATTTTTAATTTAATAGTGTGTATTAAAACTGGAAAGGTCATACCCTTTTTCTGTTAAAATCTTCGCCATGATTTTCCGTGCTGACTTAGGATGAAAGGTTAAAACATGCGTGTGAACTGAAGATCTGTAAAGAGGAAAGAGTCTGATCACATCAGTTAACCACTTTGTTTTGATAACTTAAAAATCCCCCCTCCTTTAAAAGCATCAATGTATAAAGATAGAGGAAATGAAAAATGTTGAGCTTTTGTGAATGCTTTTAATCCTAAGTAAAATTAGATTTTCTAATAAAAGTAAGAATTTATTTTCTTTATATCTGGCAAAAATTCCCTGATTTGTCAAAAAAAAAAGAAAGAGAAGGTGTGGTAACTCAGTGCTTGAATAGTTAGTTGAAAAACTCATGTCCATTTCTGGTGAGTAGAGAACTTGATGAACGTGGGATGCTTATGCTTCTGCTCTTGCGGGTTGACAGATCTTTTAGGATCCCACGGCAGACTGCTCATTATTATGTGGTTCAGTCTTTACTGATAATGCCCTGGCAAAATAAAGCAACTTTTTACACATTCGTACAGTGTAAAATTGCAGACCACATCTGGTTGTTACACTGAAGGTTGTCTCAAGCTTCCCTTGCTTTTGCCCCTTTACTACAGTAATGAGGGAGGACCACAGTCCATAGTGTATTTCAGAGGGACATTGGGAAGATAGAATTACTATGCTCCCTCCTTATTAGAGGAAGTTAGATGGAGAGACAAGGTTATTCCCAGGTCAAATACAGAAACCAGTGTGAAGCAGACATTTATCCTGAGTTTCTTATATTTTATGCCCTAATCAAAATGCAGTGATACTGTTGACTTTGATCATTGGATTTTTTTTTTCTTGTCTCTTATACTGATACATACTATGTATTTAGCCTCGTGAGAGATTATTTTTTGCCTCAGGCACTATATTATTTAAATAAGCCAAACAGACGTAGAATGGAAAAAAGGATTCCTGTTGTTCATATTTTAGAGTAGGAATCTGAGACACAGTAACAGGAAGTTACTTGCCCAAGATTAAATAATATTTATTCCTTAGAGCTCACCTGGGAGAAGACAATTTCCAGAATTTCCATCCTGTGTGCATTCCTCTTGATGTTTCCAGTAGTCTTTTTTGTTCAGACTGTTCGCTGTGCTTCGCAATTTTGAGTGTGGCTGTGAGTTTGTCCAGGGATCCTTGTTCTCTTAAGTGCCATGGGTGCTTACAAAAAAATCTATCAGTAACAACACTGCCTTTTCATGCACCAGAAGAATGTAGTCTGTCATAGGTAGTTGATGGTAACAATTTCTTTAGTTTCCATCCTCCCTCAAATTACAGCCTCAAACATTCTTTGAACATTATAGGGTAAAATAGTCCATGATATAAATTTGTGAAGTCGGTGGTATTACATCAGGGCTCAATGTAGTCCTGTTTTGTTGGTTAAACATGTGATGCGATAGCTTCATGACACAGGCTTTCTTTTAATTAACTGTGATCAGAGGTGGGAGGGTGATGTGTCACAGTGATGGTTATTCATGTGCTCTGTAGCAAAAATTGCCTCTAAGCCTGTGTCATCTGTGGAAGGTTTTCAATTTTTTAATGTGGTCTGCATGGCCTTGAGGTTATTACGAAAGCTTTTAAAATTCTAAATAGGTTTCAGACTTGCTTCTTTTTATTTTTTCCCCTTTAGCTTATATAACGTAATTTCAAATATGCAATGATTCATATATATCGAATATATATCTCATACATATGAAACCATTTTTTTTAAACTAGAAAATTTTGGCCAGGTTTCCTAGAGACTTTGTTATGAGGGATGTATAGTAAATGTCTCTTTCCATAACCTCACATTCAGGTCCCACTTCACTCTTGAAAAGCTGGATTTATACATTTAAAAACCAAATGGGACCTGATGAGAAAATTTGCTACTTCTAAACATTGCAGGGGTCAATTTCAATATACTGTGGGCCAGGGAAATATAGGCAGAATTACTTGGGGCTAGGAATTCTTGCCTTTGAATAGAATAATCCGAAATGACTACGTGGCAAGATATGCAAACATGGACTTCCCACTGAGAAGCCTAGTACAGCTCCTCCAGGTAGTCAGCTGTTAGTCTTTGCAAAAGTTTCTCCCTGAGAACCCAGAGGGTCTCAGCTCAAGTTGTTAGTTTTAGCAGCACTTCTATGCACTATAACATCTTCAGGTTCTGTTGATTTTAGTGTTTGAGGATGGAGGGAGGATGTTGTAAGCCAGCAGGTTTGGAGTAAGAGATGTAGATTGTACATATTCTCTGACAAGGATGGATTGTAAACAGTTGCCATGCCATATTGCCAGTGTAGCACGGAATACTGTTAGGATGTAAATTTAGTGGGATTTGAATGAAACAAGTCTGTTAAAAGATAGAGACAATTGAGGCTAAAAATAGAGGTGGTTGGTGTCATTCTTTTCTGAGTTTGGGCTGAACCTGAGTGCACTCTTGTAATCAATGCCAGTTGGCATCAGGAGTTTGCCCTAGATTACTCCAGGATCTTGTAAGGTGATCTGCAGCTGAGCTGGAACTTTGGCAATAGACACCTTTTGTATAAATCATGCATCCTTGGACTATGGGAGTGCTAAAAGCATGTTCTGAGCAGTCTGATTGAGACGTTCAGAGGTCTCATAGCCATTTAGCATGACTCTTAATATCAACTTATCTCTGATAAATCTGGCTTTTGAGCAATTGATTAGCTTTACTTGGAATCTGCAGTAGGACCATGCCAGCATGTAGGTATTCACATGATGTACATCAAGCTCAAAAACGCAGCAATCAAAATAAAAATCTGATGTAAATACTAGCCAGAACTGTCTGGGAGTGCTGATTGTACACTTCCTGGGTTTTGCTTATTATTGAAGTGCTGCCTTTACTCCTTGGCTACTTGTTGATGCAGTGGCCTCTCCTCCTGACAGGATGCTAGCTCTGGTTTCATGGTACAAAGGCTTTGGCATCAATAACAGCTTAAGAAGTCTTGTTTACCGCCCTAGGCATGATATACCCTTTGCTGTTCTGGCACAATGATTTGTGTCCCTATTCTATGACCTAGGTCAGGCCCTCCTCCCTTTTTCATTCTTTCTTTCTTTCTTTCATAAAGCTCTGGGTTGGTTCACTGATCTGGTTCACACTGTGTCCCACAAACAGAAGTACCAGAACTAATGAGCAGCAGCAGGGTAGGAAGAACAGCTGGCAGGACGAGGAGGAAGCAGTGGGAACTCCTTAACTGACACTGCTTAAGTTCCTGAATTGTGAAATCACAGCTTTAGCATAACTTTCTGCAGATCTGTCCTTTCATTCGTATTTGTTCCATGAACAGTCTACAGACTGCAACTTGCTACCATTGGCAACCTTTCAGAATTCTCTTTTTCTTTCCGTGCAAAAATGTAAAGCCACGAAGTAGCCAGTTGTGTTACATACATATTAGTGCATCTTTTTAAAGAGTTCATATTTAGAAGTCTCTCAATACTCTCCAGAGTATTGTTCTCCAGAGTTTCTGTCTATATAGGCCATTACTATCTGGCCAACTCTTTACTGAATTGGCAAAAAAATCCTTAATGTTTGGCCAGTGAAAAATGAGTTAAGAGTAGTTTTGTTCATTGAAAAAGAAAAAAAACAAGAAAAGGTGAGATTGTGCCTTTTTCTCCTTCTTATCCTTTATCTCTTCCTTTTTACAGAATGTTAAAGGAAAAAATTGTAAGACATACTGCTTGTACTAATAAAAAATGCCTGAATGTTTTACTTCTTTACTAAAAGCAAAGGTTTGGATTGCAAATTAGTCCCTTAAACCAGTTTAAATTGCGTACTCTTTATTTTTGGCTCTATTTATTTTTGAGGCCTAATTTTTAGGACAGATATCAATTACATTCATAAAACCAATGATGACTACAATATGCTGTCATGAAATGAAATATTTCTGGAAATCTCTTGCCTGCTTATTTTCATGTTATTATATAATGATTCCTGTGAGGAATACAAATGCTGTTTCATGCTGATAATCGTTATTTTTCAGAAGCAGAAGGAATCCAATTGGAAATTTGTGGAAGAACTCCTTAAAAAATCCACTGATGCTCAAGTAAGTCTGTAAAGGAAGAAATAATGAACAAGAAAAGTGTCAGGCATGCTTTCAGGAAAAGACAGTGCATGAAACAAAGTCCAAATAACAAGTGTATTTTTGGAATTCGAGTGTTTTTATCACAGGTAAATGAACATCCTAGACGTAGTTGAACTATGGCAGTATATAGTTCCACTCTTGTTAGCAGTTACACTTGCTTTAAAGTGGTTGTGCTTGATGCTAAATTGTCAGATAAAGGAAGAAGATAATTATCCTGGAAGGGTAGGTATATGGCTGCTCAGACAAGATGTATTCAGAATAAGAACTGGATGCTTAGAAAATGTAAACCAGATACTGAATGTAAGGATATCAAGTTGAGGAGACATGATGAGGGAGATAGTCAGTTGCATTGAAAATTCAGCTATATCCTCATCACAGTGGGAAGGTGACTTGCCTTGCTGAGCAATTTGTCTTACAGGCTTGAATCAAACTCTTACTGATAAGGTTCTAGTTTCTGAGCACTCATTTCATACCTTATCATTTTTCTTTCTGCAGAACTGTTAATGCAATGCTTCATGGCCCAGAGGTCAGAATTGACCTCCTTTTAAAATGCTTTTAAATATGCTGTTCATCACGTTTTTAAATTTGTTACGTTGCAGCTCTGTAAATTTGTTCTGAAGTTACATGGTACAGATTGTAAATGCTCTATCAGCAACAGCTATAAAAATAATTTCTTTAATTTGTGTATACTTAAGATGAGAATAAACATGTTTATTTTTTTAATTTGCTCTCAGCTGAAATACAAAAAAATCCTGCAAAGCTCTGTTCTTGAGAGCAGAAGAGGAATCAGTTCTTTTTTATTATTATTATCACTGCCTTGCTTATGCAGTTGCAACAGCTGTGGTTGAAGCTGCAGTATGGAACAATACTTGTTACAACTACAGTTTTTACAAAAAGATATTTTGTAGTTGTTATGATAGTTGAAACGATAGATAGGGTATTAAAAACTTGAAGAATCATGCTATACCTAAACTCTAACATTTGTTTATGTAGTCTTTCAGCTGAAGAGGTTAGCGCTTTTTAAATGATTTCGCAGTATATAATTGAATACACACATTTCATATACATTAAAACTACAGTGATGACATCACTTATTGGACGCTTACTGTTCTGTGAGAGACTAGAGAGATGTGGATAAGAGGCATAAAAACTGAGTAGCTTATTAGCCACCTTCCTCTGTGGCATCTTCTGTATGTCAGCAACCTGAGAAACAGTAAGAGGACACTTGCAGTTACATTTTTTTTTCAAAATAGTTCTCTTTATCATGTGAACGTTTATTATTTTGAATAAAGATTACTCTGAAGTTGAATATATGTGAAATACACAGCTTTTTTATGCTTCTGTTAAACAAGTGTTGAATTGTCGACAGTTTTGAAAGGCAGCTAGGTGGCCAAGTTCAGAAGATTTGGGTAATGGGTCAATCATGACACAGTAACATGAGGCAAATATCTGTTTTAATTTCCAAAGGCAACCACTGTTGGAATTAAAACAAGCCCTGATTTGCCAAGGATATATTTGCAACTATTACCAACCGTCTAAGGAGCCATCTAGTTTATTTTCTTCTTTTTTAATTTGTTCATTATTTTTTCTTACATTGTGGAGTTAACTGCTTGTAGGAAATGCTCCTTGGAGAGCATTAGTTCCCTATATGAGCACGTAAAAGTGCATGAAGATACTTTTATGAAAAAATGCATCCCGATTCCTATTCCTGCACACCAGCCTTCTTGACAGTGTCTAGGAAGGAGATTTTCTTTTACCGGTAGACATGTCCATCCCCTCTGTTGATCCATCAGCTTCATGTGACCACTCTTAACTTTTATCTTACCCTTTGGTATCTCTGAATTATCTGCCGAGTGAGTATTTTTGAGACCAGAAAATATAGGAATGAGAAGCACGATAAGATATCAAGAAGTCTATAATGAAATGGAACATGGAGAAGCAGCAAAAATACTCTATTTGTAAACTGTAAGTAAAGATAGGAGCAATACCTGAGCAAGTGTAGAGTACTGCTTCCTTGGATATATCATTTCAGCTTCAAACAGTTGACATACTGGTGAGTTTCTTAGCCAGAAACTGCTCTCTTAGAATTCTTGATGGATACAGTTTAAGACAATTACTCATGTGAAAGATCTCCCATCTGTATCACAAAAAAGGACATTGTGGGGAAACTAGTTGCATGAGATATTCCCTACTTCTGTTGTAATTTGGGTTTCTGTTACTGGGCTAATGATGAAAGTAGAGCTGGTTTACAATTCCATCTGTACTACAAAATGGAAATTGTTGCACTAGGAATATTAACATACGTATATTTGTGTACTAGACAACATCAAAACAAATGAATTTATGGATTGTCAGTATAAGATGGATTTGTTCTTACAAAATTTTATTGTAAGTGAGAACCAAAAGCTCTTTTGTTCATAAGAACTAGTAGCAATTTCTTATTAGCCTTCTCTCATTTTAGAAAATGCTTCATGTTTTTTTATTTCTGCCTCGATTTTGTTATACCTTCACTATATTTTTCATTTAATTCTACTCTGAAAGAGATACAGAAGTATTTGTTGGAGTTCTAGGAAACCAATTTTTTACTACAGTAGGAGGTCATAAGAGAAAAATGTTGTGTTTAGATAGTACTATCATTTTGATAGTATCTGGTGTTCCTCCCTTCTGCGATAAATTAAAAGCTGACTACCTCAAGAGTTCTGATAGTATTTCCAGCAGTGCAAGAGACCATTTTAAGCAAAAGAGCAATGAGGGAATCCATTAATCCCAGGGATATTTGAAGTCTGGAGAACTCTTTCATATTAAATTGGAGATAAAGCCTTCAGTACTATCTTGGTTTTGGAAACTGTTCTAAAGCTATTGTTGGACAGATAAATAATGGTTGAAATTGAAGCTGCTCACAATACCATGTTTATTGTTGAATTAATTTAACTGAAGCAGTCATTGTTGAATTAGATCCTAAATGTAATCCTAGGCACAAATTACAACTTTAAGACTAACCATTCTCATTTTAAAGGGTGTGTGTTTTGATTTGGGATATTTTTACATCTTTTGTAACTGGGTAGATCTGTCTTAAGAAGTAGATATGTTCAGCTGCATTGTTTGGTACATATCAAGACTCTTGCTTTTATTTGTTAAAAAATAGCATCTGTTGAAAATGACTGCAGTTCTGCCCCTTGTTATTTTGTATAAGAAAGTTGTATCTATTAAATGAGTAGTCTTCCCAAAATAACAATGTCGTATATAAAGACTGTACTTGAGGATCACCTTTCATTTGTAGGCATTTTTATTATATTTGAACTATTATTCTGTACATCTTTTAATGAGTCTCTCTTACAGAGTTTATTTTCTGTTTCAGTGTTTTTCATATGTTGTTATACATAATGTCTTGAATACGTAATTTTCTATGACAACTGAAAATGCCTTTTCAATTTTAAGGTTGTTTTAGAAATATACCACTCTGGGAGCCATATGCCCTACATTAATTCTTCATGAGAAGACATGGCAGACATGATCAGAAGTTATTGTAGATGATTGGTATAATTATTTACAGTGTTCTGATAAAGTGTAGCAAATTATGTTTTCCATGTGAATGTATAGACAGGTAGAGATAAGTTACTGAGTTAAACTCTTTTCTGTAGCATTGAAAACAGGAAAAAAACCCAGCTCTAAGACATAGTAAGCCATAAGAAGTGAGTGTGGGTGAGTGCAGAAGTCCTGATCTGCCAGTAACACGTAATTAATGAAAGACTATTTTAAAACTAAGCAACCAAACACCACCCCCCCCCAAAAAATAAAAAAACAAACAACCACAAACCCAAACAAACAACAACAAAACCCAACATAACCTAATGCTATCTTTTTCCATCACCTGGCATCAGTGATTTGTTTTATTTTTTATTTAAGCGTTTTCTGAGCTGGGTGAGCTTGGAACATAATTCAGGACCTAGCACTGTAATTGGAACTGAAGAACTGGAATTGGAACAGAATTGAATCTGAGACATGGTTTCCTTTGTTCCCCTTCCTGAGGCTATGATTTTGAGTCATAGAACTTGTTCTGTATCTTTTGTATTTTTCTTACCCCTTTTATTCCTCTTTAGCTTATTTTATGCAGTTAGAAATTCCAGACTCGTTGTGTTTAGATGTATTTGAAAGCTAGAAGCAGGTCAAGGGTTTCTCTTGTTACAGAACAAGTTCACTGCTATCCCAGACATGTGTTAGACCTACATGTGCAAAAGTCTTCCCTTAAGACAAATGCACACAAACTGGTCAACTAAACTACTTTTATAGTCAGCGGAGACAATAAAGCCCTTCCAGGGCTTATCATCCTATACTTATCATCCTTAAGTAGATGTCTAAAATAGGCTGGATTAAACACATGATGTCAGTCTGAACATGGAGCTCTTAAGATCCTACCTCCGATGCAAGTCTGGTTTCGCTGACATCAAAAGCTGAATGAGCTGAATCCCACTCTCAGTATCCCACAATTACAGCCTGAGTGCTTCACTGTGTTGAAATTGTTTGGAATTTCCTATTTTCCTTCTCACGAGCTTTCTTCCTTTTGTGGGCAAAATTCGGAACAGATGAAAACAAAAAAATGTCATGTGGTGTGGGGAGTTTTTTGTTAGCGCTTTTTTTCCGCCAGTATTCAGAGACTTAATCACCCTTGATTTAGAATTGTCTGACATGTTAGCGGTGTAGCTATGTTGCAGAGGTTTGAGGAGGAGCATGATTCATAAAGAAAAGATCCTTCTTTTTGGAATACTGTGAAGAGAAACATATGCCCTCAGATAGTTGCACCTTCGCTATGTATCAGTGGTAAATGAGCTTTCCTTCAGACCTACCTAACGTAATGGAAGGGCTTAAGCATTCAGCTGACTCACGCTTTCACTATAGCAAATGCCCCATTTACTGTTTTGTGAAGTTCTGTACCATGCAGTCATGTTTCAAGTTAGGCTTACAGTAGAGTTGGCAGTTATCTTAATGTGTCTACAGCTCTGTGGATGCCTGAAATGTTGCACGATGAACTATTGTATCAGCTGGAATGCAGGATGCAATTGTCAGCTTTTATCTTCTAGTACATTGCTTGTATTAGCAGATGAACATACTTAACATTATATAATTAAAAAAAAAATTTTTATATTAGGAAATTATTCTTAATAGTGTTAGTATTGAGTTTACATGTAGTCAAGGTGATGCTCCCCTCCTACAATAAACTTTTTGTTCCCTTTTCAAGACTGGTGTGTTAGAGGAACACTTACGAATGCATCTACAGTGCTGTTTGACTTTGTGTAATTTCTGGGACTTGAATCTCTCTATCGTCACCGTACTCTGGGATTATTACAGCAAGAACCTGGTAAGTAGATGAATATATAAAAATGTAGAATTGCATGTGGACAGTCCTCAATTTTTAGCAATTAATTCTGATTCTTCTCTAGCCAAGCTTGATTGCTACACTTTTGTAAAACTGACTAGTCAATGGCAGTATCGCTAAACTTGCTATATTAATTTGAGAAATCATGTTTAAATATATGTTATGGTCCATTACATTATGTCACAATAGAATGAATTATAATGTATTTTTACTTTTATTTTTCAACAAGATTACCGATTTTAAGATCTTGTAAAAACACTTTGCATATGGTTACAATGCATTTTTATTTTTTTGAGTCGCGGTAGGAACATGTCCTTTTATTTGTGTGAAAGGTTGCATCTTATTGCCTGTGGAATATTAACATTTATTGTTACTCATCATCTTTTCTGGTTTCATTTATTCTTTTAGAACAGTGGCTTTACTATTCCTTGGCTTGGTCTGAAGGGTCTGGCAAATGTTAGTAAAACTTCTTTGTCAATGCTTGAGTTGGTGAAAAGTTGCTGTTGTGAACAGCAGATCCCCGCCCTGTACGAGTCCAGCAACAGTTACTTCATTTTTCTCAGCATTTTGGCACGGATGATGAAAGACGAGGCAGAGAACAGTGGCACGCATCCCTGGAAACAAATTAAAGGACGGTATGACTGCTATTTAGTTTGTCTCGTGCTGTAAGAGGTCTAGTCAGTCAGACTGCATGGCCCTTCCAGCCCCATACCAAAGCAAGGGAGAGGTTACTGTGTTCCTGGGAAAGTAAGGGGAATGAGGGATCCAGGATGATTGGTAATTTGAAGAAGGCAGTTGTTCCCTGAAGTTTCTCTTGCCAGTTGAGGCTGTGACAGGGTTCAAGAATCACCTTGGCATCCGTAGCCTGTGATGATTTACTTTGTCCCGCAGGCCAGGAATTTGGTACACTGGCTCCTATGCAGTGGTACAACCCTGTTGCCAGACAGGTAATGTAATTAAAGCACAGAAATTATGTTTGAGCTGCATGTAAGCCATGTGTTGTCCAAGACCATGCAGACTGGCTCTTGCTAGACCTGCATTTTCATTTATATTTCAATTTTCTTTTTCATGGTTTCCAAAATCTCTCACAATATTTTTTTTGTAAGGGTTTATTTTTTCATTTAATTTTGAAACATGCTAATTAAGAGGTATGGTCAATCATGATATCAAAAATATGAAATATATGTGCTTTAAATCAAAATCTTGATGTTTTATATACTTATTGAATTGTTAAAACTTTTATTATAGTAATGAGATGGTACTGATCATTAAAGGTGCTAACTTTTTTTAAAAAAATTTTGATTGGATGTAGAAGACAATTAGTTTTGTTTTGATTTTTAAAAAATATTAAGTATTAAAATCTTTTTGTATGCAAGTAATAAATATATAAAAAACGCACATGTATATGTATGCCTTACAAAGCTATGTGGTATATTTCTTCCAAGAAAGAAAGATTATTTTGGGTATTAGAAAGGGAAAATATATCTAATGTCTGTGTATACTTCATGAGTTGTTATAGTCAGTAAACTTCAGGTTTAAAAATGCTGCAACTACATAGAGGCAAAGGTGATGTTGGATGCTGAATCAGTGAGTGTCTTGCTTTAGTTAGTAATTTTAATTAGCCTGCTCTGTTTTTACTGAAAACAAATGATACTTACATTTTTGTGCTATTATAGCTTGTTACTTTTCCTAATTTAAGAGGGGGAATAATAATACACAACATACACTGTGTCAGTCTGCTCAACCAGCATTCATCATTTCTACCTTGAATAAATCAATTACACAAGTAGCGAAATTTAACAGCCTACAGCTATGATTTTAGGATGAACTCTGTTTTCAGCAGCTAACCAAGCATTAATTGATGCACGAAGAACGTAAATGCCTGTCAGTAGTAATTTACTACTCAACAACATTAATTGGATTTGCTGTAATTTTTGGTGGCTAGATTTGATAACCTCAGCACCATTTCCAACTATTTTTCCAGGTGACAGAGTAGGAAAACAGCATTTATGGATGTTTAACTACTGTATGTGGAACTTAACTTTAAATTAAAGGTGAAGGATATACCCAAGGTTTTAAACACACAAATGAAAAAGTTAAGCAAGCCATTTTCATCTTATTCCTCTGTCATAGGAATGGTGGCATTTATTTAAAAGTCCAGATCCGAGCAAGGTCACAGAAAAGACACCTATGTGTGAACTTTCTCCTTTTTGTCAACCGCTTCAAATCTGCAAAGCAGCAATGCTTCTCACTATCAGCTACTTAGGACTTCAGCACTGTTGTATAAGCAATACAGCTTAAAGTTTCTTAACAGCTTCGTGCTGGAGAGAGGTTTCTTTCCCAGACGCCTCAGTTTCCCCATTTTCTCCCAAACTTGTAGTTCACAGTCCATACAGTAGGTGTGCAGTACAGGTCAGTACAGATTTTGGTAAAGCACTGTGGAGAAAAGGAGCTTTCCATCAGAACCCTTCCTCTCCCTTTTAATGCAGTGATTGCTGCGTAGGTGATCCTTGGATCACAGCAGCTGGGGGAGTGTATATAGTGTAAGAACAGAAATCAGTAGCTAAAGGAAGGAGGGTCCCTGGTCTTTTTTTTTTTTTTTTATTTTATTTGTGCCACAAGGAAATGAGGGAGTTTCTAGGGAAGAACTTGGGGTGAAAGAATTGTTTGCTGTTGCTAAGAGATGGCACTTGGCAACTTTCTTTCCTAGCAGCCCTCATGGGCTAAATTAGATTCATGTGAAGGCATGGTATGAAGAACGTCCATCACAGACAAAGTAGAGAGAGTCTGCTCATAACATTGTGTTCAGCTTTGTGCTAGGGGTTGGATAAGGGAGAAAGGTTAGGCTGTACCTAGAGTTGAGAGCTCTAAATGTGGACCCTGTATATGGAGCAGAAAATGAAATAGCATGTTTGTTTCACTAGCCAAAGGGTTGAAAAGGGGAAGGAAAAGAGGGTATTTAAAAATTAAGGGTTATAGGAAGAAAATAACTGAAACTAAAAGCATGAAAATACAATTTTTTGTATCAAGCAGATAAAAAATTGCATACTTTAAGAAACTTTCTGTTTCCTGGTTTGTTTTGTTTGTTTTTTTAATGTAGAATTTATTCCAAGTTCCATCGGAGAAGAATGCAGGAGCTGACAGAAGTGGGGCTGCAGAACTTTTTTAACCTGTTCCTCATGCTAGCAATTGTTGCGGAGACAGAAGACATAGTAAGTCGAGTGCTGGATCTTTTGGATTTCCTGACTCCATCCTCCATCACCGTGTCTCAGAGAGCTCTCATCTGGAGAGGCCATTTTGCTTTCCTTTTGATCTACGTTGAGAAGAACATGGACATTAGTGTCCTTGCTGAGAAACTCTCAAATGCATTCCGTGAGAAGGCAAAGGAGTTTTTAGTAAACAAAAATGATTACACACAGAAACAAAATCTCTGGACTCTACTTTCAACCTACATTGATGGTGTCCAAGAAGTGTTTGAGACCAGCTGCTACTTGAGCCTTTCTGAGGAAAAATTGCTAAATGATGGCTTCACTATGCTGCTGCCTGCTTGTCGAGGAGCTGAACTGAGTATGGTCCTAAATTTTCTTCAGGTTGTTCTAGCCAGACTTCGGTAAGTTATTTAGTTAAATTTTGGATATAGGTTGGTGTGTTGGTTTTGTGTTTAGGATTAAACTGTAGTTCATATTAGTTTCTTACTGAAATAGAGTAAAAGGAAAGACAAATCTCTGGAGGTCTGTGAACAATATGGTAAATTTCAAAATCCAACAATACCTCACTGCGTTTAGAATCTTACAAATGTTTCCTTACTATTTGAGGGCATTAGGTTTAACATCTCTGATATTTTCTTATGAATTAGTGGCTCTGTAGAAAGTCATTCAGTTGCTACTGTTTCAGACAATACCATCTCTCTTTTGGCACAAGAAATTTCAAAATTATTATCCCTACTAAATTACTTAAAATAGGGGGCTTTGGTGTTTGGTAGGGCTTTTTTGTTGTTGTTGTTATGTGGTTGGTTTTTTTTTTCTTCAGAGAATCTATTCTATTTTCAGAATCTTCATTCCAACTTCTTTTTCTTTCACCAAGGTTGCAATCAAATACACCAGTTATGGAGATTTAAATACTTGTCTGAGTTTCGATAGGAAAGAAGGCAATCATGCTTACCACTTTCAAGCGGTTTTGCTTTGATGTACTAGTTCAGTTTTCAACATCCACAGTGCCCTTCAATAAGCATATTTTCGTCTACTGATGCATTTTAGAGGTAGTCCTCCAGTTTGAAGCCCAAACTGCCTTTTTTTATAAGATATTAAGAGGCATCTATTGATCTGCCATTACTTCAAATGTGCAAGACTGAAATATGTGGAAAGAGCTGTGGAAGAGTGCATAATAGGAATAGTCAGGCCCATATGCAAGAGCTCTCTTTAACTAGGTTCTTTGTTATTGTCTAGTAGTTTGACTGCAGCTGTCAATAGCTTATACATCCAAAGACAACTGTTTTTCAGGCAGCCTTTTGAAAAAAGATGAAGCACGAAACTAAGTTTAGTTGATTTATTATTTATTATTTCAGTTCAACTGAATGTATTTACTGGAATAAATTGCAGACTTCAAAAATACTTTGACATTTTCTCCATTAGCTAATACACAGCATTTGTTGTGTTGTTTTTGTAGATGAAATAGGGATAAATTTGAGACTAGTGAAAAAGTTGCTTATTTGATAACTTGGCATTATTTCAAAGCTTTCCAGAACTGGGGGTTATGTGGTCCTCTTGTAACACAGAGAGGAGGGCGTAGAAGTTCATTACAGACTTTTCGGGTCATCGCATACAAGGTATAGGACAGTATTCGTACCTTTTCTTACAAAAAGAAGGTCTGCTGAAATATTTGAATTATCAATGTGCTCAAATACTAATTGGTATGACAGTGATTATTAGAGCCTTGTTTTTAATAGTTATTTATTTCAGCTTTTGTATTTATACATTTGGTTACTGTTACCTGCCCATTTATCCCATCCACAGAGAAGCTTAATTCCTTAATGTTTATAAAATGCTTTGATCTTCAGGTTGTATGGAACAGGAAAATGTTACTGGTTCTCTCTCCTACTTTGACAGACTCACTGGAAGGAGTCTTCTGTTGCCATACAAGTAAAACAACGCTGAAAACAATTTCTTTGTTGAGAAGACGTGGATGACTTTGTGTTAAACTGTTATTGGCTTAGCCAGACTGATTAGGCCTGATCTGTCTGCACACTTGGAGAAGGATGAAATGGCTCAATGCCGTTCTCTCTCTCCTGTTTTTAAAATTTAGGCAGATATAAGATACTAGGCCTTTTGTAAATGTAATTTTTCTGTACACTGCTCTCTAATAATTTTATAACTGACAGGGAATTTACAGGTAGAAAGGAAGTGAGATCACTGATTAAAGAGAGAAGCGGCTCCCTCTAGGCTGTTAGGAAATAATAACTTCATGTGCCACTTTCTGCTAACCCCAGATGATGGCTCACAGGAGCATTCTTTATTGCTGATTAAGTAGCATTATGAAAATACTGACTTGGTTATGTTAACTAAATGCCTCAGTATTTAAAGCTTAAAATGTCAAATAGTTTTAGCAGTTCTCTTTATCATATCTTGTTGGATTGCTAGAATCGCATTCCAGGTTTCCCAGATGCTTTTATTTGAGGACACTGTAAAAATGGCAATCTTTCATTTGCAGAGTGAGGTGTAGCCAAAAGCTCTTCTTTAATTATAGCTATTCATGCTGCTATGGTTAAGGGTCTGTCAGCATTTCCATTATAAACCTTTATTTTCAAGGGTTTGTAACATAGCAGTGAAAACTTGCTCTGGGCTAAAACTTGGCATACAAGGTTTTGAAAGTGCACTTGTTTTCTTCCTTTCTTTTTTCTTAAAAGACATCTGAAAAGCGACCCCCACCTTCACCATTTTTACACTACTCTGTTTTAATATAACCCTTTCCAGGTTTTTCTTGTATTTTTCTTGTCTGTTAGAAAAGTACTGGTAGCTTTTGATTGTTGTATTTACCTATGCTTAGACTGTTTTAAATAAGCTTTTTTTAAACCATTATATTTTTAGTGTTATCATCATGATTATTTTAGTGTCAATATGTTTAAATAGAACTATGATTTGGCAGGAGAACTCATTTTTATTAGTTTTTGATATGTGGTGAGTGGATAATTGGAAACAAGATGCTACTTGCTGGCACTTCCACGTATTTGATCTTCATAGTGAGATTCAGTATGAAGTGTAAGATTGTATTTTAATATAGTCTACTTTCTAAAAACATATGTAAAATTAACAGTAACCAATGACAAAACTCCCCAAAATAAAAATGCAAAGCACTTCCTTCTTGTGTTTACTTGGAGCATTCAGCTTCTAGCTTAAACTTAAGTTTTTTATTTAGTTTTTGGTTTTGTTTTTAAGCAGTGTTGCAGAATCATGATTTATTTTTTTTTTTTGCTGCTTCTTTAATGAAAGGTAAATGCAGGATGCTTGCCCATGTGTGCTTTCATTTGTTCCAAATCTCTAGCACTACCCATCATCTGAGTGTGTCATGACACAAAAAGAAACCCTAGGTTAATAAAAATACAGGCATTTAATGGATTTGACAGAACTTGCTGTAAAAAATGGTCACAGAGAAATCTGCTGAGTGCCTGGAAACAGTAGGTTCCAGCATTGCAATATGTTATTCTTAAAAGAAGGGCTTGAAACATGTTATAATGTCTTTTATTGTAATCAGGTATTGCTCTGACAGGAGCTTTCTCTTATTATCATCATCCTGGCATTTGAGTTTTGTAGTGTATTAGCACTGAGTTACAGGGTTGTAAAATGCAAGTACATGCCCAGGTATAAAATCACTGCTGTACTCCAAACATCTTTGCTCAGTGTCAGGGACACTTGCTACTGATTCCCATAGGAGAAATGAGAAGTACCACAAGCCTAATAACATAATAAATGGTAATTTTATTTTCAAAACAATTCTTTTGTACTTATGCCTGTTTGTGCTGTTCTGTCACTGTTGAAAGACATGAAAAGTTATTGAAAATTTCAGTGTGTGAATTTCATAAGCTGTACAAGAATACTAATCAGGTAAACCTGTCTCTAATTAAAAGTGACAATAGTAATTGACCCATGGATAACAGCAGAACTGGATGTTTCTGTCTGTTAGAGTGGGTCTAGCTTTGAGGTTGTGAGAGAAATCACGATAGGAATGGATTATCCAGTATATCTTTGCTATGGAAATGTATAGTCATTTGTAATTTTTTTTTTTGTGTTATACTTGCCATCAAAACAGCCTGTGGGAAGCTTTCTGAGACCGACAGAAGCCTCTCTCTCCCTCTCTGTTACTGTGTAAGTCAGCAGATAAGCTCAGAAGGAGAATAGAAAGGTCTTCCCCCCTCCCTCCTTCTTTTCTTCCCCCTCAGGGGTTTTAGTGTTAGTCTTTGTAAAATGTATTTTCTGATGTTGAACTTCTGAAAACTGTATCCAGAAGAGTTTGGAAGAGCACAAGTCTTCTCTTACGCATCCTATCCTGTGAGTATATTTAAAGCCACCAGCTGTGATGTCCTGATAAGCACAGAAGGCAACTCTGTGGCTAAACCACTGACCTGAAAGTCAGATCTTAGTTTGATGCCAAGATCTCCCAGGCTTAATGAATGACCATTAGAAAGTCATTAAAAGTTGCTGTTTACTTGTGTGGAAAAAAGGAAATAAGTCCTTCCTTTTTGACTTCACAACATAGATCTTATGGCTGGGGAGGAAGCGTGCCTTGCTGTGCGAACTTGACCTATAGTTTAAAGTATTTTTAGATTATTTTTTTTTTTAAAGTTAGTTATTCCATTAATAAAACTGAGGTTTTAATGAGTGTAAAGAAAACCTACTCTCTAAATGTTTTAGAGCATGGGAAGCAAGCACAAATATAGGAGCATTTTGAGGTTTGCTGTGTCTAAATCCTTAAAAGTAATCTGTTGTCTTCTGTGGGAATACTGGATGCGTTCTTAGCTACTGTTGTTGCCTTAAGGTGTGGTCCTGGTAGTTAAAACTGAATTTCTTTTCTCTTCCTCCTACTTTATATGAGATTAGAGATTTTTTTTTTCAGGATTTTTTTGGGTCTAAAATAATGGGGTTTATACCTTTGTCCCCTGTATTCTGATCTTTAAAGATGACTAGCTAAAACCAACATGTGTTTTGATTGTGTCTCCTCTGCTCTGAGAGTCTTTCAAAGGAATGAAATGAGATTGTGTGCATTGGAGCTGGGTACCTAGTACTTGGCTTGTCGAGAGTTCCTGTGTATGTCTAGCATTGGTCCAGGTTAGCAAGAATATTCACTGCCACTTCTCACTGTCTAATTGAATCAGTAGGCTACTATGTGAGAGCTGAATAATTGATTAAAATCAATTTCATATCGGTCTTTAAGATGTAATAGGGAGCTTCTGCCTTAAGAGGGCAACAAAACTGGTGAAAGGGCCGGAAAGTGTGTCCTATGAGGAGTAACTAAGGACTTTGGACTTGTCTAGGTTGGACAGAAGGAGGCTGAGAGAAGACCTTATTGCTCTCTAAAGCTTCCTGAGCAGGAGAAGTAGGAGAGGGAGGTGCTGATGTC